TATGGAAGACATTTTTTAATTATCCTGAAAAGAATAATATATCATAAATTATGTTCAACAATTTTTATCTGTATTGCAAAAGAATAAAGTTGTAATATGGTTTATATGTTCTCTGTTATAAGAATGTACAGAACTAAACTTTGTTATTTGTATCTTTGTTAAATACAATACATATTATAGTAAAATGAAATGTTAATAAAGTAGAAGAAATATAATATTGAATGTTTCAAGTGTTTTTAAATTTTACATAGAAAAAATATGCCTAAGAATTTATAAAATAATGATCGTTACATTTTTTGTTAAACAAATTATGAATTTGCACCATGTTCAACAACGTTTGGCACATTAATAAATGTTACTGCTATTAAGTAATCGATTTACTGTGTTTAAATAAACTCAATCCACAATGATATCATCTACTTACTTTCTTAATATGTATATACAATTTTTTATAGCAAATTCAATAAAAGTTTATCTTCATTTCAACATTTGGAATGGCTAACAAATATAAAGAGTCAGTAATATATATCTTTTTTTGAAAAAAAATAGAGATACATATTGGAACAATGCAAAAATATTCTTATTTCGTAAGAAGAAAAATAAGGGTATTTTTATTTATTTTTTCTTTTTAGTATATATGAAAGCTATGCTAATACTGTGCATTTTGCAAGATCGAAATCATGGAAAAATATTTTATTAGATACGTGTTTATAGAATTTTCTATCATATATTCAGTATTCTTTTCTGAGGCGGTAAAAAATATTAAATATATATTTTTTTTAACAATATTTACACATTCAAACTTCAAAGCATAGTATAATAGTATTTCATATACTATAACTGTACTTCCAAAAGTACCAAAAATGTTTATATTAACCGTAAAAGTTTATTGCTTTAATTGTGAAATATCTTAAATTTACTAAAAAATAAAATTAAAAACTTCTCGTCACTGAGACATCACTTACTTTTTTTCAAATATTTTACGCCGAAAATGTCGGCAGTGTTACTTTATTCAATCTTAAGAATGCCGTTTTGTAAAGTGTCGTTAGTTAATAACAAAATTGTATTCTCATTTCCATTCTGGTTTATATTAACTTCTTGTACATGTTTATTCAACAAGGTCAACTTCCTACTTTTGTTGGGCTGACTTGTTGATTTTGTTTGTTCATTGTGACAAGTTTGAAATTGCGGAACAATGTTGATGCATTTATTTTGTACTATTATACTTGTTAATGGTTCGTTATTAATATATATGCGTTGTTTCGTTTGATGCATTAATTTTTGACTGTTTCTAAAAACATTGTTCAATGGTGTGATCACACGACTTTTTATTAAGTCTGTTATAACAGTCTGTTGATTACTGTTCGTTTTATCTTCATTTAATATACATTCTTCATTTTGATTTAATAAAATATTTTTACTCACTTTATTAACAATTTGATTATCTGGATGCAACATACTTGTGTTTATCAAATTTTTCGCCATAATAATTTCATTTTTTTCTTGATAAGATTTATCATTCAAAATGTGGACACTATTGTCTTCTTCTCCATCTTCTTGAGTAAGAATTACATGTCTATTGCAGTGATCATCTACTGTCTTATTCAATACACCGTTACAAAATTGTTCCTCGTTATGCCCCACAATTTGAATACGATTCTTAAATCGATTTTCTGCAAATTCAAAATTTCCTTGAAATTCTGTGTTGTTTTCATTTTCGTCGTTAATTGAAGTATTATATTCTATTTTAATGTACGAAGATGGCTGGTTAACGTTGTGATAAATTAATTCAGATTTTTCCTCTTTAATTACTTCTAACTTATTATAAGAAACACTTCGTAACTGTGGCAAGTTTTCTTGTACTTTATCCGTGTATTCCATTGGTAAACTATTCTCAGGTTTAATAGAAACTCTATTAAATATAGGTATTTCAGTCTCTATGGAATCAGTCTTATTTAATTGAGATTCTGAGCAAACCTCATAAGTGTCAAAGCAATTCTTAATAATCTGTATTGCATCATTTGAATCCCTATTTTTGTTATTATCATCAGCATCATTACTTATAATATATCTTTCAGTCGTAGTATCTTGAAATTGACCATTATCATTTTGATAATTCATTAATGTTTTCGCTGCTGTTATGGCCTCGTCTATAACATGTTCTTTAGTTACATCATTTTTCTTCTTTCTATTAGTTCGTACTTTTTGAAAGTCTTCTTCGGATAGATATAACAACTCTCCAGTGGTTGTTAAAACTTTCCCATGTCTTGTTTTCAAGTGACGTTTATAAGTGTTTCTGGTTTTAAATCTGTTTAATATAAATATATGTGTAATAATATAATAATGATAGTATATTTACAATTATTAATGGTTAACTCACCTTTGCCCGCAGTCATCACATCCAAATGGTGCTTCTCCGGTATGACGGCGTCGATGTTCTCTAAAATGTGACGGATGCCTAAATTTTTTTCCACAATCAGCACAAGTAAAACGTGTTTGATTTTGGTGAATTAGCATATGGTATTTTAAGCTATGTCTTCTCGTAAAAACTGCTCTACATATACGACATTCATATGGTTTTATCCCAGCATGACTCCGATAATGAGACACTAAAGTTGTAGGTGCTGTAAAACTTCTTGGAGGATTACAAATTCGACATTCAAGATTACTTCCCGTTGGGTTTCCCTTCTTTTTAATGCGATCCATAAAAGCTAGTGCCATTTCTCTTTCTTCTTTACTAGTACCTATAAATTTTGCTTTACCCTTAGGTTTGGTCGTTGTAATTTCTATATTTTTATTACAGTTTTCAGTTGACCATGACATTTCTGAAAATAAGCAAAAACGTATGAGTACAAAAAAGTAAAAGTTATTGAGAACACGAAAGTGTATGAAATTATACATCACACTTACCAGGTAAATAAATAGTCTCAGACTCTTGACTAATTTTTTCTGATAGTTTTTGATTAATGTGTGAATACTCTTTCATGTGAACAGTATCAGCACCAACAACCATAAGTACAATCTACATAAAAAAGGTATAGTTAACAATTTCAAATTATACACATAATCACATAATTTATGCTTACATTCTCATCTACTCCTGCATTCTCTAGGACATTACTAAAAGATGCTTCCTTGCCATTAGGATTATCATCCTTCAAACGTTCAAAGTAACTATGATCTCCAAAAACTTTGAAGTCTGTTTTATCCATATCTTTATGTTCAGTACTATGTATCTTTTTAGGTTTATCCATTTTCTCAAAACTTTTATTTTTATCTAATTCTTTAAAACTAGAATCATTTAGTAAAATGTTTCGAAGATAATTTGTTGATTTTTCTAGTATAACATTCTTATTCTCTTTATTCAATGCCTCCTGAGGTTTTCTTGATAATTGTAATTTGTTCTTTTTACCTTGAGAACTGGTTTTATTATTTTTATAATTCACAGACTTAGCAGTAAAGGTTTTGTCTGCAAAACAAATATAAAGGCACATCATTCTTACATTATAATTAATGTATAACAATTTATTTCTGTTATTTGTGTATACTCACGGGTTTCCTTGTTTGCTTTTAAATATTCCAAATGTTCTGCCAAATGTGCTTTAATAGACATTCTTGCCCTTCCTTCACTCGCGAAACTAGTATACTTTTGACCGCATCCAATTATCAGAGCACAGGTATAAGAATATTGTCTTTTTAATTCATCGCTTGTAAAAATTGAAAACTGTTTAACTAATTGCGATGCAGGCATAGACAAAAGCTGGGATACATTGAAAGATGTTTCCTGAGTCTTTCTTTTTATATAATCTGTTTTTGATTTACATTGTGTTACCAATGATGATTTATTATACGTTTTTTCTGAATGTAATGTCTGAGATGCAACTTCTGCCAACATGTCTAATAAAGCAGCAGGACTATCATTTCCCATAATACCTGAAAAAAATATATAACCTAAGCATAAATACATATATATATATATATATACATATATATATATTTATATGTATATATACATATATTCATTCTCATACTCTTATCATCTCAAATTTTTAAATATTAACTTCAGTTATTCATTATTTGAAAGAAAATCATACTTAATATTTACTACATAATGTAATAGGCATTCTTAAAACATATTATTACACAAACATTTATAAATGTAAATGTATTATTGTTAAAATTTTATTACTGTGAGTACGAACTATGTATTTTTGTTTTATTTTTTTGTCAAGTGCTACTGATCTTGTAACAATAATAAATATGTTGATCCTTTGCTGACATCATGACATATGACAGTCAGTTTACAAAACAAATATATTTTAACTTTAGAAGTACGATAAGGAAATTAATCGACTTTTAATAAGTAAGAAATATATAAACATGTTTAGGAAAATAATAACTTTTTATTTATTCCATATACAGAGTAAAAATTCTTATTTTCCAAGCGTCATTCTAGCAGACGCCATAAGGACGCCCAGCAGACGGCTTTTCAATTCATCTTTACTAACACCTTTAAAAATCTGTATATTTTTTATTAATTTCAATATGTTAGGAAGGTGAAAAATTCTATTATTTAAAATGATTAAACGAGTACCTCCATTGTATGAATTAGAAGTGTATTCATGGTTTGTTTTGGTATTCATTATGGCATTCGCATTCGCGGCGTGTCTTCATTCCACTGCCTTCTGTGCACAACAGGTTCCTTCTTGTTGCTTCCTTGTTTGTTCTTTCTTGTCAAGTCCGGGATCAGTATTGCCAATCTGTGAAACAAAGATTTGATGGTGGTATACCTTTGTTAAATGAAATTACAACTTTTTTCTATAACATTCATCGACTTAAGATTCAAAATATTATACTTTCTAATATTCTGTTTCCATAAATTATTGCGTAAATTAAATTTTTGTTATAACTCTTAATAATTGAATATATAAATAATTATAATAGCTACTCTTAAGCGCGAAATTTGAAATCGATCACCTTCTTGTCTTAATATTGTATGTAAATACAAAATAAAGTAAGAAACTTAATAATAAAAGATCAGGTTTTAATTTAATTTTGAAAAAAGAATTATTATTCTTATCTTTCAAGAAATAGTACATACTTGACTTACATTTTACATAATTTAAATAACTAAATTAAAGTAAAAGGTGTAAAAAAATTGTTTAATGCTCATTTCATTAATATTTTATTACATTAGAATTAAAGGTTGTAACTTCTAAAGTATGTGACACTAATTACTGCACTACAAAAAGAATATAGTACATACTAAGTTTATATTCAGTTTATCTCTTCATTATGTGTTTACAGAAGTTATTTTATTTCTTAATTTTCATATCAGTATAATTTGTCATAACTACCCATGGGTACATTTTTAACCCATCAGCATCAAAGATATCTTTTATAATATCTTGTTCTTTTTCATATGGGTAGGCAAACCGCGGAATAAATTTTCAGTTATTTGTTTCCTACTTGTTACATTATCTTTTTCATAGTCTTGATTTAAATATTCTATATTCTCATTGTCATCAATAGCTTTCATTGTTGCTAGTAACTTTTCTTTATTGTAACTAATTGTTTTCATTCTGGCACTACTTTCATTTATACTATTAACATCAACTTCATTAGGTGTATTATGAATTGAATCAAGTTTTAAAGATTGCATATTACTCAATGAAATATCAATATCTTTCAATTCTTCGTTTACTTCTTGTTTGTTTATTTTATTTCTTGTCTCTATAGTTTTTTCATATGTTACATCGGATTTTTGGTCTTTATCTAAATTAATTGCTGCATCAGACGAGTTTGTAGCAAGTAGCCTATTCTGTTGCTCATTAGAAAGAGTTTCAGTAGTATATGATGCTAAATCAGGGTTAAATGGTATCTTCAGTTTATTGTTTTTCACAGAAATCATTTGCATTAATAAATCATTTTGAAATTCATTTTTTCCTTTACACGTATCATCACTATTCTCTTCTCTTTCTACTTGTTGAAATTCAGGTTGTTCTACAATGTGTTTCTGCGAGTCTTCTGAAGATTTATTTGTTGAATAACTAGTGACAACATTTTCATTGTTTATATGCATATTATCGTATAACTCAGACAAATACTCATTTTCTACGTTTCTAGTTTGTGCCCCTATTTCATTAACTAAATTCTGATACATCTTCTGAGATTCGTTTAAAAAATGAGAAATTGATAGATCTTCATATTCTGGGTTAGACCCATAATGGATTTGATCATTCTGTGCAGATGAAATTAATTTAAGAGCACTATTTGGATAGTTTGACGAAACATAATGTTCAATCGATTCTCTTCTTCTTTCGGTTTCAGCTTCAGAATCACTCTTATCAATATCATCCCTCTCTTGCACTAAAACACCCAATTTGTCTCCAAATTTATTATTGGATAATATAAATTCTTTTGTATCTACAGCTTCATCTGAATTATTAGATAATCTACAATTAAAATAGAATATACTGTAATTGAAGAAGGTTAATGATTATTAAGTATTAAAAAATGGTAACTCTAAATTTTGCGAACCTTATACGCGATTCTTTAGGGCTAACGGTTACATGGATCTGACTGTCCTTATCATCTTCATTTTCACCACCACTTTCACCACTTTCAGATAAATTATCAACTTCTGTCTTTAATAGTTCATTAAACTTCATTAAATTTTTACACTTTCGATTTTCATATGCTTTCCTAAATACGTGTGCGCTTACTTCATACTGATTTTCATCACTCTCATCATGCTCCTCTAATCTCTCTGAATTACTGGAATGAATTGAAGCCTTGGAATCTTTATTTCTAGTAAAATTAAATTCTTCGAGTTTTTCGTTGAAATCATCTGATGAAGTTTTTCTGTGTGCAGATTTCTGTAGGCGATATTTTCTTATTTGCTCTAAATTAGCCATTGTTTCTGTTTTCATAGAACTAGAAGTCTGATTTGAATCAACTCGTTCATCTATTTCGTTGTTCTGATCACTTACATCTGATGAGTTTAGAGCAGGCTAACAAATATCAAAATTAGATTAATAAAATATTCTGCTTGAAATATTTTAAATATTCCGAAATTTAGATTAATTTTTACCAAACTATGTTCTTGTACATCATTTTGCCATTTTTTATGTTGATCCGCTAACTTCTGTGGATTTGATGAGCTAAAATATGCATAACATGTAAAACAAATTATATTTAAAAAGATTAATTTAATTTGATATTTTTTACATACCTAACGTCTCTCACATTTGTAAGAAATTGGGTGCTTAAACGTCTATTTTTAGTAGGAAATACTAATTGTCCATTAGAATATAATTTGCGTTCTCTATTATCTAATAAATGTTCTAAACTTTTTAATTTTTGCGTTGTTTCTTCCAAATGCTTTTGTGTCTCTTTCCTTTTAGAAATTTCTGCATATAATTGTTGCTTAAGACTTTTAGTTTCAAGGGATATTTTTCTGTGTAATGTCTGTATAGTATCTTGTTGTTGCTCTATTCTATAATTTAAGTCAGATATTTGTGATTGTAGCTTTTCTCTTTCCCCCAAATTCCGATCTTTGCTAAGTTGTAACAAATGTTTATTTTGAGACTGTAAATAATATAGAACCATTGAAATTTGTATTATCTAATGTTTGAAATTATTTCATGTAGTCAATATTCACCTGTAACTGTTGATATTCATTTTCCCTGTCTTTCAATAAACTACACGTTTCTTTATGCAAAGCTTTTAGCTTTTTATATTTAATTTGAAGTACCCGTAATTCTTCATGATGTGAATTAATAATCCGTGGTAATTCTGCATTTGTTCCTTCGTAACGTTTCAATGCAGAATCTTGTCGTTTCTGTAGTGATTTCAATAGTCTGTTTTCATTAGCTAATTCCTGCAGAGAAAAAAATAATTACAATCAATGCGCCTGTCATTAAATATATAATCATAATACATAAAAGGAATTGAAGTATGTTAAAGTAATAGCACTTAAAGGAGTAATTAAAATAATTACATTTAACTGATAATGAGCATCAGCTAGTTGATTTTGTAATTCTTTAATACGTAACATTTTTGCTGATAAAACCCTTTGCTTAATACTATTTTTTTTATGCTTTGAATGGTCCAATGATGTCTTCTGTCGAATACTACTTTGGTATGGTTGTCCTATGGGTAGTATAAAAGTGAGTCACTTAATTGTATCTATTAAAATAAAATAATTTTTCCTATTAAAATTATAATACAAACCAATTAAAGGATAGAAAGTCTTTTTAGTGGTTGGAAAGTATGCTATACTTTTGTGTAATGAACTAACTTTTACTTCCACCATGGACCTGTTTAAATTAGAATTTTGATTTCTGCAAATTTTAAATATATTACATAAAATATATAAAAATTTTAAAATACAGAAAGTATAAAATCTTAAGTTACAAGAGTAATAAAACGTTGTATATAATATTAAGAACATCTTGTTTAAAAGTGATTATGTTACTATTTTTAAATACTTTTATAATCGTGTTAACGATACATGAATTAAAACAGTAATTAAAAAACATAAAAAGGTTGTTTTATCAATTGAGATTACCTATCAAAATTTGTATTGGCATGTAACTGTACTACAGGTAATGCAGGTATTTCAGTTTGCATTTTACGATTATGGATACTGTATCACACTAGCATCTCACGTTTGTAAAATAACTTTTTACAGAAACAAATTATGCATTGTGGTATTCTGAAAACTTATTAAAGACCAATCAGCTTCCATAACTGTTTTTATATGGTTACCAGGGTAACATCTATACAAACATTTCATCAATCAATGCTTTTTAAAATTAGATACTTCTTTAAAATTTTTTGGAACTGTTTTATTTTTGTAAAAATAAATTTGAAGTTTAACATGCGAAAAAATAAAAACATTTGCAAAAATATTCTAAATATACCTTACAAGTTAAGTAGAAGATATTTAGGTTGTACGTATATAATAAGAAGTAAAAATAATATTCAGTACTCTTTTATTTCACTTTTCTTCAGTCATAACACAACAATTTTGGCAATTCACAATTTCTAAATTACAATACCGAAAAATAAATTAATAAATCTTTTTACCATTTTTTTTTACAAACATTGGTTTCGTGTAAGTTATTAAAATATAAACAAACATGCGCACTGCGCGTACGTTGTTATGTACAATCTTTTAACTACTTTAAATACAGATAAGTGTATTTAATAAATAAGATTTTTACATACATACTTTTTGAATGCTTATTAACTGCTATTAACGGTATTTGTAATACTGGAAGAAATATTTTCAGTTACTTTCGTAATGAAATAAAAAAAGATTTTTAACCGTTCAGTTAATATGTATATTTTTAAAATAATTCCTGCATTCGGATGTCTTTCTATAACGTTATATAATCACAATCATTGTAATAAGTAATTTCTTTTAACAAGTGACCGTTCCGAAATAATGCGATTTTAAAATTAATATTGTATATACATTGTTACCTGTATAATACATAATTTTTAAATTCAAGCTGCTTGAGCTTTACTACTATTATCTTTTCCATCTTTCGACTTAAGCATTCCTATATGTTGAGTTTTCCACAATTTATTATAGAAGGAGTTCGGTGTAGCTAGTAATGACTCGTGTGTTCCTCTTTCTATTAATTTACCACTATCTAATACAAAAATTTCATCAGAGTCCATCACAGTAGATAAACGATGCGCTATAACAATGGACGTTCGCCCTGCCGTTGCTCGACGCAATGCTTCAAGAATATTCTACAAATACATCACGCAACAAATATTGTTATTAAATATATTTTACAAACATTTAAGACTGTCACAATGTCACAATGCCATTAAAGAATATTGTACTATGTAGACTCACATGTTCTGTAATGGAATCTAAAGATGATGTAGCTTCATCAAATATTAGTATTGGACTACTTTTTAAAATTGCTCTGGCGATCGCTACTCGTTGCTTTTCTCCGCCACTTAATTTTAAGCCTCGTTCGCCAACAGGCGTATCATATCCTTTTGGCCATTTAAGAATATGATCATGTAAATTTGCCATTTTAGCAGCCTCGAAAACTTCTTTTTCAGATTTATTCAAATTTCCATAGTGAAGATTATAAAAGATACTTTCATGAAACAGGACAGTATCCTAAAATTTTAGTTTCAAGTGAATATTACAAATGTGTAACAACCAATAATAGTCACATTTTAATGTGGTTACCTGTGGTACTATCGCTATTGACCTTCTTAGAGAGTCCAACTCTAAATCTTGAATATTGTGTCCATTGATGTAGACACCACCAGATTGTGGCTCAAAGAATCGATATAATAATCTCACTATTGTCGTTTTGCTGGAAATATACATCTTTTAACTGAATTTCATTTTTATTGAAATTGTATAAATTATAATAAAAATTTACCCGCAACCAGATCCTCCAACAATAGCAATTTTCTTTCCACTAGGAATGGTGAAGTTAATGTCATTAAAAATAGATTTGCCTTCCCCATATTGAAAGCTAACATTCTTAAACTCTATATCAGAATTCTTTGGAGTTATATTGAACTGTATGGCATTTTCTCTGGACTAATACAAAAAATTATAAATATATTAATAAATTAATGTCATATATATTCTTTAAACAAAGCCTATGTCAATACCTTAATAGCTGTATCCATTGTCATTAAGGTAAACATGGTTTGCATGTCAATAAGAGCCTGTCTAACTTCGCGGTACACTGAGCCCAAAAATCCTAATGGAACCGACAGTTGAAATAAAAGTGCATTGACCATTACTAAATCACCAACTGTCATGGTACCTAAATTCATTGAAACAATATTATTGTCTGTTCTTTAGATCACATATAAAATTTATGTATAAAGATAAATACTTTACCATTTAAAATGTTTTTAGCTGCTAATACCATAATTAAACTTAACGCACCGCTAAATATAGCATTCTGACCAAAGTTTAACATTGCTAGACTTGTACTTGTTTTCAGAGATGCAGCTTCATACTTCTTTAACGATTCATCGTATCTTTGTGTTTCGAATTTTTCATTGTTAAAGTACTAAGATAGAAAATATAACTATTAGTTATTTAACAGATCAAAATTACGATTCCGTACAGATCACCTATATACCTTTACTGTTTCATAATTAATAAGTGAATCTATTGCTTTATTGCTCGCATCGTTTTCCGCTTGATTCATAAAAATCCTAAACTTCGTTCGCCATTGTGTAACAGCTAATGTAAATATTGTATAAACACCGACACAACCTAATGCAACACCTGCGTATTCTCCGCCGCATTTTAAATAGAGTATTGTACTGACAAGTCCTAATTCAAAGACAGTGGGTACAATATTAAAAACCATAGCATTTAATACAAAATTTATACCACGGCTTCCTCTGTCTATCGTCTGAAAAATATTGAACATAAATAATTTACTACATTATAAAAAATAAATTAACCAATTAATAAAAACTACACAAATGAAATAAGTATTTACTTTACCTTTGATAATGCTCCAGTTTGTCTAGACAAATGAAAAGCCATGTCTAAATTATGTAAATGTAGAAATACATTTTTGGCTATTTTTCGAATAGAATGCTGTGCAACTTTAGCAAACACTGCATTTCGCAGTTCACTGAAACCAGCTGCACCTGCACGTGCTATACCATCTATTTTATTGACATGAAAAATTTATTGTTAGTAAATATTCTACATATAATATTATTCTTATAACATTTTAAAATACATACATCCTATAAGTAATGATGTTGCTACAGTTGCTATTGTTTCTGGTGCTGTTCCTAGGCTTAGAACAGCATTCCCACTAACTGCTACACTTTGAGCATTAAGAGCATCTATTGCATATTTGAAAATGAATGGAACACCAACATTTAAAACTTTTGCACCAATCAATAAACCGAGAGCTAGTTTTACTCTCTTTCTTATATCTGGATCATCCTAAAAAGATACATAATAAATTTCTACTACTTTAATATAACTTATGTGCTTTGAACAACTTACTTCTGGCCAAATATATTTAAGCATCGCTTTAACCATATCTGAAGATGAGACTGGATTTTTATCTTTGAAATCAATAGCTTCACGGTTTAAACTGGACACACCAGGGTGAAAGCAATCCCTTTTCTGTTGACCCCATTTTCCTCCAGTAAATGCAGAAATTATCGATGGGATCTTAATCGGAGGTACAATGATTTTTGATTGTAATATACTTTTTTTTTTCTGTGCACGATCAATTATGTTTCCATTGCAATGCTGCAAAAACATTTACAAACCTTAAATAGATTCTTACATGACTTCA